TTCATCATATCACTCATACAAGCACGAGCACCCCGGTGCCATCTTCATCATATCACTCATACAAGCACGAGCACCCCGGTGCCATCTTCATCATATCACTCATACAAGCACGAGCACCCCGGTGCCATCTTCATCATATCACTCATACAAGCACGAGGACCCCGGTGCCATCTTCATCATATCACTCATACAAGCACGAGCACCCCGGTGCCCTCTTCTGCACAGTCATACGATTGGTATGTGGAATTTAGTAGAAGTAAATAGCTCCTACATTGAACTGCTAAATGTAGTGGATTTACAGTTAGTGAAACTAAATTTAAAGGAAGCTAACTGGTTCGCTAACGGTTTTCAGTTTCAAGTTAGCAGAAACGCTAATCCGCCAACGAAAAAGTTAGCTTCGCTAATTAGTGGTTATGGATGAATTAGGGTTTATCCCACAAAGATATGAATACAAACACGTGTGTCCGTGCTCATGCCATATCCCTCACCAGCGTCCCTGGCTTAGTCATCTGTGCAGCCAGGTTGACAGGCTCCCTTTCCAATGCCTGCAGCATACGGAACATGTCAATGGTCAGCTCACTGAACTTTACCTGTTAGAGAGAGAGAGAGAGAGAAAGGGGGGGGGTGGTCATTACAAAGCCATAAATCATTAGGAGGGAGACGAGGCAAAAGCAGTCAGAGTGTGATCTGCGGTGAGAGATACCTGGTTGTTGCAGTTACCGATGATGAGCGCATCAGCCAGGGTGAGCTGGCCCACCACCATGCCTTGCTCTAGCTGGGGCACAATGCCTTCCTGCAGCCGGTTGGACATGATCACCACCGCGTTGTCATCATTCAGCACCATCACAGGGTCTGCCTGGGTGTACGTGAGAATACATTTAGGCTTAGGCTTTCACCATGTGCTTCAGACAGCACTGAGGGCTAGGCAGGGCGTGTCTCTCACCTCCACAAAGGCTGCCACCTCTTGCAGCACCAGGTTCCACTCCAGCTGATCCTCCGTATTGAAGCGCTGGGTGTAGTCCTCGATCTCCTCTGACAGCTCCTGCACACAAAGGGAAAAATAAAACACATTAATGAATGAAAATTATATAGATGGATAAACGCAGGTTGCAGTTAGAGGCCTTGACCCAAATGCACTCACAGCTCCATATCATGACTGCTTTTCAGACACTACAGATATGTTTAGAGTAAAGGTGTGGTCACACTAGCATGAAAAAATATTCACCACTCATTCAGTTTCATTCTAGCCGCTTGATGCGACAAACAGAAAATCCACTTCTGATATTGCAGCAAACTCAAAGGGTGTTTTCTCACAGAGTTCATTTAAATGCATTTTGACTGGCAAATCTGAGTTGCTAAACCAATCTGGTGTGGCATGGGTGGGGCTGACCCCTCAGTTTCACAGAAGTGCAATAGAGGAGGATATTCATTTTATGTGCATTTGCATCATTATGGCAAATCAGTTCTTTAATAATTTAAAAAACTGCAGGAGAACACATTTGTGCTATTACAACAAGAAATAACAGGTACATTTAACTCTTTACACCACTAATGTCTACTTGCGTACCAGTTATATCAATCCCTGTTTATAACACATTGCTAACTAGCATGCTTCTCAAGTATCGCGCCATATTTTCAAAAGCAACACTATTCATTTGCTAAATGAAAACCATGGTATACCCAAACTGCTGATATATACCATATTATCCAGTCCTGTCCATTTTTGCTCAGCTCTGACACTGGGTATTTTTTCATGCTAGTGTGACCACACCACATCCAAGACCCTGAGGATCACAGTTCAGTACTCCAACACATACTGTCCCCTGAACCCACAACCAGAAGGAATCCACAACTGCTGCCTGTCCTGACCTTCACCAGCACTTTGACCAGGTCCATCTTGTTAAGCAGCAAGCAAACAACGATGTAGCGAGCATAGTACCTCAACTTCTTCACCACCAGCTCAGGCCTAGGAGAGGAGCATGAGTGAATGAACATAAGCAAGTGAAGGGTGAAGTGGTGCACAGCCAGAGATGACAACCTTCCTCAACAAGAAACTCCTGCACATCAGCAGTATCTGAGTGGGGTTCAGTGCAACATGGAAAAGGCAGAGCAGGAGATATTCACACATTCAAAACACCTATTTTAAGGAGACCACAACCTACAAACCTCTTTTCCTACATTTGAGAAACAACTATGCTACAGTATGAGATGTGCTACAGAATTTAGACTCCTTGGTTTGCAGATAATGGACTTCCAGGCTAAGCATGTAATCATTTTGCCTGTTTCTCTCCATGTGCTCCTCTTGGCTTCCTCTAGGTAGCCCAATATCCTCCCACAACCCAGACCTCAATCCAAGTACAGTTGTGACTTCAAATTATTACTGCTGCATGAATGCCCTGTAATGGACTGGCATGTAACCTACTCTTCACTACGTCCCTTGCCGAATACGACATGCTTCCCTGGATATGCATCAAATAATTGTGTCTTGGACCTAATGAATCATTGGAGAAAATGTTCAAATGCCAGAATCACTGTAAGCTCTGTTCATTTCAGCTTCAGAAATGTAAGAGATCAGAAGCCTCACCTGTCTTCCTTATTGACCTGGTAATAGTAGGACCGCTGGCGGATGGCGGAGTAAAAAGAGAACGCCTCATTCAGGTAACTCGTCTCAGAGGTACGGAGGCTGCAACAGTGAACCAGCAAGACCAAAGTGATTCAGTGAAATGAGTGATCACGTAACAGAAATGTTAAGCACACCCACTGATCCCCTTAAAGACAGATTTTCAGTACAAGAGGTGCTGAATTGTTCTGTCAGGGGTTTCTGGTAAGTCTTGCCTAGGAGTGCATGAATTAAACTTAGCAGTTTGACAGCATACCCCAAATCATCACACTTTAGGTTTCAAAGCTTCCATTCATACTGTTTTTCAGTGCACAAGAAATAACATCACTGAATGCATTTCTAGAGGGCTCCCTTCCAAACACTTGTGAAGCCTAACGCTATCCGGCACTGACACACAAACAAACGCCAAGGGCTATGTCAGGAGCGGGCCTTACTAATAGTGGTAGTACAGTTGTCCAATCTTGGAAGCCACCTCCCCAATCTGCCACCTCTTCAGACCATACCTGTTATCCAGCACCTGCCTGTTCACACAAAACAACATTATATTGATGCTGGGGGAGATGGTATGGGTGTTTTCCAGCAGGGTAGATAGTTATACCTTCCCCAAAGGATTTCTTTTAGCCCAAATTATAGTCTGAATTTTTAGAATAAAGGGACTATACCCAGTCACTGTGCTGCTCTCACTTCCATCTTTATCTGTATCTAAAATTCTCTCCTACTCTGGTGCACCTTTATACGCAGCCCAAAGGTAAATTGCTGAATTGAATTGCAGATGGCAAGTGACATTAAGGGTGTGTGATGGACTGGCGTATCTTCTGTGGACCTGGAACAGGATAAGCCCACCCAGAGACTAATGGGTCATGGAAAATGCAATAAATAAAATGTGAGGTCTAATATGTGGGTCCTGATGCTTCTGGCTTATTCACTATCAGACTGAAGCAGTAATTATTAGATCATTTTCAGTCGTGTGTGAACACCATGTAGGGTTTGGGGGAGAGGTCAAGGAGGTAGGTCATAGAAAGCGGGAATTTATGAGGGTGAGCAATGGAGGCATTGATTTACCTGTGTTGCTGCTGAAATTTCCACAGCTTGGTGTAGACATCAAATGTGCGGCCAAAATAGGATTGCCACTGCTTATGGCCATACTGAGGCAGGTCTCTACAGGAAGGAGGGGCATGGACAGAGTCAGAATGGCAGTCATTTAAGGAACAGGCCGCTTCTTTCGCTGCCATATGACTGGCCAATGCAACAAATAGGCCTGGCAGCAGCAGTGCATCCTGGACCCTGCTGCATCCTGCCATCTTGGGCCAGGAGGAACAAACTAGAGCTGAAAGAGGCAGAAGGACAAGCATGAAAGAATAAGAGTAAAGGATAAATGCAGTGATGACAGGCTCACTGTGAAAGCAATATACTCCACCAACAAGAGGCTCAGTGCTCAGAACTGGTTAGCTGGCAGGAAGGAGTCACTTTGGAAGGGGCAACTGCTCTCTGTTCTCTTTTGAACAGGGTCCTACCCTTGAAGAGATCCAGGCAAGCTAGCTGCAATCTGAAAGTGGGTGCAAAACTGCACTTTCCTGGGCCAGCTGTGATAAAGCAAAAGCCGACATATAACCAGATCTGAGTAAGCCTTCTGACATCAGCACTGAGCTGCACCAGCTGACCGACTTGCCATGTTTATCTTTATTTAAATATTACATAAACAGCCCAACAGGAGGGCTGCAAAGCATGCAGCTACTGAGATGCTTTCTTATGACCCACTTGTGAATAAACAGACAGAGATGTGTGTCGTTATGACGTGTTGGTCGAACGCTCTGGCTATTTGCCGCAAGTCAGAGGCCGATGACAGGATGCGATCTGACTGCCAAAATGCTAGCGGAAGATGGCTGCAGTCCCTCCCGTCTGTTTCTATTATGAAATCTGTTTATTTTTATCACCCCTCCACTAACTGTGCTTCAGGCATTGCCATAGTAACGTATCCGGAGAACCAAAACTACCAAGAATGACACTAGTCACAGGACCGGCATGCATATCAGTGGATCTCATTTCTGTGAAGAAATGTGTCTCCACCAGGGCCTTCCCAGTATGTACAGTATCACACAAGCTACCAAGCTGCCTGCGACTGCAGTCAGTGGACTGGTTTGGCTGCAAGCATTTCTTTGCTGCAAATGAGTCTTGCAGGTGGGTCCGGGCATAGCTTAGGGTCATGATGTGGTGTGGGCAGGAACGTTGTTGACATTTATGCACATGTGCAAACATCTTGCAATAAAGAAGCCAACCTTTGTTAAACATCACATTCAGTGGATGACAAGGACCTTAAAAAGGCTGGCACAGCTTCCTGGGGCACCATAAATCTGATTTACTAACTGAAACAACTTGTTGAGCTCATGGCCATATCTGCGGCAGCCCCTAATAAATTTTCTGCTCTGCCAGTGAAGGTACCCTGTGGGCATTAATCCTTCCACCGGCAATGGGAAATAAATGGTCCGAGGAATGACATGAGATCCATCCTGATGAGAACTCCCATGTGTACCCCATGACCTTGCTTTGCACAGCTGCCAAGGGCACTTGGGGAAGAGAAGAGTCTAACCACAGGGTCCACAGGGGGTGTGGATGTGCCTAAGTAATACATACATACATCCACACACAGACACACACACATCCCACTCCACCCTGTTTCCCTACAAATGCAAGGATGAAGTGGAGTTTAGAGTGCGTGTGGCGCAAACTGCGGGCATCACAAGTCTATCAATTCAATGATGCCTCAGTGGACAGAAATGATTATGTATGAAAAAGATCATTCCTAATAAGGAAGAGAAAAATACACCCAACAGAGGCACACGAGGCGGAGAGCGCACTGACGTCAGAGGCGAGGTGTGGGATGTTGAGAATGACGAATCGCCTTTTGCTCAGAACTGCTTAAGTTCAATCTGGAGGCTTGGTGATAACCTGCCCCCCCCCAAAAGAAGCTTAAAAGCATCATCTACATTTGAATAAGTCTCACTCTAAGCTTTGTCAGCAACCATATGTTGGCTCTGTAGAGTGGAAGTAGCCAAGCTGATGAGAAAAAAGGAGCTGAAAGAGAAGTTGAGACTACCTCAAAGTACTGTTCATCAGCCATCTCCATACAGACATTTATTGTATATGTATTTAATCATCTCAATTTGAATCATTTTAAATAGGAGTTCCCACCCTCGGTGTGCAGACCCGTACCGATGCATGGCCAGTATTCCAGAGGGTCACAGAAAGCTGGGGGCTTGAAGAGGTGAATATCCAAAAATTAACTATATATTTGCATATTTAATGATCCCTCTCATTCATGTGGTCTGTTCGCACCTGAAAAAGGAAATGGTTAAACTTATTAAATTGCACCACCAGTATTCCCGTCAGCTAAAATCAAAATGTTGGGAAGCGCAAATTTAAGATGCGCAGAGGTCCAAAGATGCCTGCCATCACATATTCCCACCATGAGACAGCCCTGCTGTGGCTGAGCCGTGGTCCTGTCATGAGCAATACACAGAAGATATGTGTGTACTCTTTGTTTTTATCCCCTGTGAGACCAGCCATTGAAGACTATGCCTATACAAAGAAGAGGAAGTGATAGAGAAAGAGAGACAGGGAGATTGTCAAAAAAGACCATGAAAAAAACCACCTGAAGGGACCAAATAAGTGATTCAGTGAAGCAGAAGCCATTGGTCACAGAGGAACATTGAAAAACCAACAGCCACGATTCTCAACCTCCCATTGATTAGAAGAACAAACACAAACATCCACCCATCCATTTTCCATATCTGCTAGTCCAATACTGGGTCCCAAGCCTATACTAGAAGCTATGGGCGCAAGGCAGGAAAGAACCCAGTACGGGGTCCCAACCCATTGTAGGGCACACACACCATTCACTTTTTTTGGTGCGGAAAACTCTGAGAACTCAGAGGAACTCCACAATGACATGGGGAGAACATGAAACTCCACACACACAGAGTCAGGGCAGAGTGTCGAACTCTGGGCTCCAGAGGTGTGAAAAAACTGTGCTGCCCCCAAACACAAACATCTCAGGTGGTTATGTGGTTGGGGGGTACAGTGCAACTTGGAGGCAAGCCCAGACCAAACACCACAATCAAAATCTGTTATAGTCTAAAAACACTTTGCCAGATACAACTGTTACTTCAAAGCTGCACACCTCACAAGGCAGGTAAAGTCAAAAAATGACTGGAGAGTTAAGCTATTTTAGCCATGTTCATAAAATTATGAGCAATAGTGAAATAGAGTGCAAGAAAGGTTGAGCTGAAAAGTTCATTTTTGTATGATGTATTTACCCAAATTAGATATCAGGTTGCAGTCCATTCTATTTTTTTCATGTTCTGAATTTGATTAAGGGGAATTCTAAGGGAATTTTATGGAAAAATTGAGCTTTGAAGTAAAAAAAAACACTTGAATTATATTGTGATAGTTATTGATAATAGACTGATATTAAAAAAATCACTGTGATAAAATATTTTGTCATATCGTTCAGCCCTAGCCTGAACAGGGGACAGGGGCCTGAACAAGGGATGGGTCATGGCCAAAACAATGAGGGAAACCAATGAACAAGGTGAGTAGGAGGCTGACCTTAAGCCATTGAAGAGCTGCTTAGACTTGTCCAGCAAGTAGCAGAAATCTGTGACAGTTTTCCTCTCGCCGGGTGGGATGTCATCCTCTGTCCCCACTCCAGTCATGGCTGCCGCTCACTGCTTGCTCCTGTAATTGAGGAGCACAATGTTGGACATAAAAAATGTGCAGAGCCTTCATATCCAGACAGTAGAGGTAGACACACACTGCAGCAGGGAAGAAACCTGAAGCGTACATTACAGTAAGATGTGTGAAATGAGAGGAAGAGGATATATGGCACAAGAAAGCTGGATTAGTAGGAATGTATGAATTGTGAATCATTTCTAGCGTGAAGTAGAGTGAGAGCTGATATGGACATGTATGCTAATGTCCCGTTTAAAAAAAACTCCCTTAAGCCTATCTATATTCTTACCCTCCCAACAAGACAATGCAGTGTGGCATCATACACCTTAATTTTTACATTTTATTATTGTGTGCACAATACATAAATCACAGAATGTAATGATGCACTCTCATCTGCTTTGTAAATGAATGTGTGTGCACACTTTGGGAATGTGTGTGTGTGTGTGTCGCAATCTGTCTCCGCATACAGCACACAGCAGAGAGAGGAAAGTAACACATGGCAAATCCCTCCGGTGTGCCAACCCGAGCAGCCTCCGCAATCGGCTAGGTGACAAGCACCTCAGTAACCATGGAAGAGAAAAGCAGGAGTTTCTGGATTTGTGACAGAAAACCAGAGTCACTAGAGATGAATTTCATCTGCTAAAAACAAGAAAGGCAGCTGAAAAATGGATGGTGTGGCACAGTAAAACTTGAGCCCAGGGCTGACTCATTCTGGAAATGCTGGTCCTAAACAATGCAGCATGACAAATCTTCTTTTTTTGTCTTTGCCCATGTAGAACCTCAGACTAGTATAGGACATATGACTGATCTCAAATCTAAGGCAAGTTGGAATCCAAGCTAGGGGAATCGACAGGGAATAAAGAGGACAAAAATGTCTGGCTGTGTTACTAATGATGTTAGTGGAGGGGTCCTTGTCAGAGCCATTACTCTTAATAATCTCAACAAATCTGTTAATTGACAGTAATCCAACTCTGCTAGCTCAGCAAATCTGCTAGCTAAGGATTTAGAAAAAAACTCGGACCATGGAGCAGGTGGACATTAAGCATGAAATTTAAAATATAGAGGAGCAACAGCTTTTACTAAAGAATATGTCTTCATTTAGATAACTCAGTCTGTAATGGAAAAGAAGAACAATATACAATTAAGACTTCTCCTGGGTTATGGTGTACAACTTTTGTCAATTTCAATAAAATATTATTGCTTTAGAAGAAACTCAGAAAACAGAAACTCCTTAAATCTCCCTTGGGAATTAATAGAACTGCACAACATTTTTTTTTTAAAGTTTTGCTTCTTGGAAAGTTTTTGCTGATTGAGACAGGTACCTGTTGGGTTTGCACATATGTAATTTTGGTTTTGCTGCATCACGTAGGAACTCTGAGAAATAGACCGTTAACTCTTTACCAGCAATAACGTATTTAATCGCGTTTATGTTTCTCATATGCTATTAAATTCAACATAATTGGAAGTGTTTTGCTCTTGATTTTCATTTGTATTCAATGTCAGGTACATCACGTTACAGTGTTAAACAGTAGTCAGCAGAAATATTCATACCTGGTGACATCAAACGCCATTCCAACAGTCTCGAACCCAGCAATTTGGCGTTTGCTTTTGACAGACCCAAATTCTGACTGTGTTATGAGATGTGGATCACCGGATGAGCACGGTTCAAAATCTGTATCAATGTCCCTGCCAGTTCCCTGCATTGCAGTTTCTTCATCTGGCTCGTCTAAGGTCCATTCCTCTTGTGGTTTCGGAATTGGAAGACTGTGGTCATGTGGCATGGGTCTCATTGCTTAAGGCATATTAGGGTATTCAATTGGCTACTTGTTTTTGGTAGAGAAACCAGACACATTAGTCAAACAGAAGTAACAGCCTGCCACATGGTCTTTCTGTTCTTGCCATATCATCGGGACAGCAAACGACATTGTCTTTCGAGTGCCTCTGAGGCAAGGTCTCAGACAGACAGCACATGTCGTTCAACAAATGTGAGGAGTCCATTACTTGCCTTGATCACTGATTTTACAGTTGTACCGATGATATGCTTTCTTCACGAGAGCAGTCATTGAGCATCTGTGAGGCGCAAGCGCATATTCGCAACAAATATAGCAAAATGTATTGCGGCTGTTAAGACATTGATAAGACATATCGACCGACACCAATCATCCTGCAAATGTCTATAGCATCTACCTGACTTGTTACATTGCTATTGAGGCAATGCTATATTCTGAAACAATACATACACACTATCAGTTCTATATTAACCCATTGAGCAGCATCTGCGTATGCAAGCCACTTTTATAGCCTGCTGAGGCAGTGTCAAACTGGCTCCGGCCTGTCCAGGCATGCCCAGGCTGCAAACTTCCAAAGAACAGCTTCCAACCTGACCCGATTCCATTCTCATTCTGTAAAAAACATTGTCGATAGGTCTCTTACAGAAGTGAACATTTTTGGACGCAAATCTGAGAAAAATACATGACAAAACTGAAGATTTCGATGAATACGTGATGGGCAAATCTGGATGTGATCAGCAGCCAAAAATCTATAAGAAACACCCAACAGCGTTCAAGAAGCAAAAACTTTATTGTGCAGTGTAGTTTATCTGTCTAAAAGAATCCTCAAAAAAGCTTAATAGAGAGGAGAAAATGCACCTAAATGTTTAAATTATGTTCATGTCTGTCACCTATATAGAGCTGGGTGAAATGGGCAAAAATGTTATCATGATAAAAAAAAATCATATCAGCCGATAACGATAATTACCGTGATAAATGTTTTCATTATTTCTCTCCAGTTTAAAGGCTGTTTTTTACTCCTGAATAAAAACTGCAGAAACCAGGTGGTTAATCATGGTTATAACATTTTCCTCATCGTCAGAACATAGCAAACACTTGCCAAACAGTAGTGACTGCCAAAACAACGCTTCCGGAACAATTTAAAATATAAACATTTTATATTTTTCTGACCCCTCTCTGTTCAAACAAGGGCTCAAAGTATACACCTAAGGAAACCAAAAGTGCCACGTGTACTCAAAAGTATTTTGCATTTCTCAAGTCCAAGATGGACAGGTTATTTTAGCCATCACTGGGAATCTTCCTATCATTTCTTAATTCTCTGTGGATCATTATTGTCGGAGTTTCTCATGGACTGAATTATACTTTGGACTTCCCTTTTGGATTTCTATGGATTACCCTTATTGAACCGGTTGCTTTAGACTTATTGGCTCTCCCCATGAGTTGCCAAGTTGTTTTGATGGTTTTGTTTGTTATCTGCCTACCTGCCTCATTACATTCTGTTATTTGTTCACTATTATTAGGTATACTGTTGCTTGTTAAATATGAGTGTTCTAGGGCCCATCTGCGGTTCCAGAAATCAGTCATAAACATGAAAAAAAAAATCATAAAACATTGTTATTTCAAAATAACGTCCAAAAATGATTTCATCATAAAAATATAAAAGTTTCTATCATTAAGTCATTTACCAATCATAATGCCATTAAAGGAAATATATTTCAACATGATTGTCAGTCCAAATGTGCACTTCTAGTTTGTTTATATGAATTTTAAAGCTGTCCCAAACGATTATTCTTTAAACGATTAATCTAGCGATTTTTTTTTATATTTGTTTTCAGATTTTTCGACTAATCTAACAACTTATTTTTTCGATTCATCTGATAAATTTATTGATAAGCAATTATTTTCAAGTTAGTCACTCAATACAACAATTCACCCCCTCCCACACACACACAGATCTGAAACTCTCATTAACATTTCAATTTATAAAAACATTTCTTAAACATTAGAGCATTATTAACAAAAAGGGCTAATCTTAAGAGATTCAACAGGATTTCTATTTTAGACTGAAGTTAATAATCACTGCAATAGTTTTTACTTAATTATTTCAGTACACCAATTTGACTTTAATGTTGAAATAGATGCTAAAACATGGAATGATTTCAACTAGAGAAACATGTTTTTAACAAACACTAGCAAAGGTAGCTTATCGCGGACAGCTTGCTCTACAAAGTGCAAGTTGAGGGAGGCGTAAAAACAATTTCCCCACAGGGATCAATAAAGTACCAATTATTATTATTATTATTATAGTTAAGCTTACTTCAGTGAGCAAGGAACGATTCAGGCTACAGTGTGTGAGAGTAGTCTAAAATCATAATTTGTCTCACTCTTACATGACAGAATAAGTAAACAGAAAATATAAAATGGCTGAAACTGCGTCATTAACAAAACTATATCGGAATTCAGTCTATAATTGATATAGTTTTAACAGTGCCAGCAGTGAAACAACTAGCCAGCTTATTAGCAGAATATCTTTGTATTGTAAAAGAAAACCATGCAGCAGGTCCAATAAATAAAATATTGTAGCTCTCGAGTGGCAAAGAGATCATCAAGTGGACAGTAAAGTTCAGTTATTAGCAGACTGTTTTATTGCACGATTCTTAAAAGGACAGCATTAACGTGCTCTCGAAGTGATAAAGTACTTTCCCTTACAACATGATTAGCGCATCACATAGTGCATTGCAATTACAAAACATTTACATAGTTTAAAATTCCACGTCGATGCATTTTTATAGTAGACATCGTCAATTACTTCGAATAATCGTCCCAGCCCTAAAGCACCCACCACTCAAAGTATGCAGACATCAGTGTTGGTACCTCGTTGAGGGTCGAATGATTGATATCTGTTATATAATCCTTTATTTTAAAAAAATGCTAAATTGGGCAAACACAGACAAAAGTGGCGAAGAAGTCAGAAGTGGCCCAAAAAGACTGCGTATAGACCCACAAACAGCAAACACGTGAAACCCAAGGAAAATATTGAATTCACGGTGCAGAAAAAAATACTGATTCCACTACTGAGCTATAAGTGAATTGTCTTCCTATTTGTTTCAGAAAGGTCCTATCATCAATATAACCAGTGACCTCCTTTTAAACACCAGCAGCGACATACTTCGACATACAAAGAAAAGCCTCGCTTTAACATAAATACTAAAAGAA